CAAAGCCCGACTGCAGTGTGGAGAAGAGGCCACTCCACTGCACGACAAGGCTGCCCCCAGTCAAGCTTGCAGGGAGGGCTGTGGCCTCACCATTCACCTGAGAAGCGGACAGAGTCAAAGGAAGGTTCGGGAGAGCAGGACCATGTTTGTTTGGTTCAGTGTTTCTTAGCACATAGTAGGCACTCAAATACATGTAAAATAGTTTTGAACTAATGGGCAAAGAAAAAACTATAATCGTGAACATCTCTTGTTTTTTCTTGCTCAGTCTTCATCTCTCCTTTGTCTGGATTTCCTTAAGGGCCCATCCCTCCAAAATCTATCCACGTAGTTCACAGAAAGTTAACCCCACCCTAACTTCTGGCGCATGACCTAGGCCCAGCCAATCAGCTAGTCCACAGGGACTGGTCCAGAGGTGGTCACATGACTCAAGCTGGGCCCATGAGGGACAGCCCCAGGACTTTTCAGAAAGAGATACTGTTCCGCCAGTGGCATTTGCTAAACTGGCAGCCATCTCTGTCCTCACCAGGTGGGGTGGTACATGTCTGCAAATGAAGCCCAGAAATGGAGACAGATTCCAGACATCTTGTTTGAGCACTTGGATCTAGCTATGTCTGAATCCAGGGAACTGTAGATGTTTTTCCATTGGGTTAAACCAATAAATTCCTTTTCTCTTGGTTTCAGGGGTGTTTCTATTATTTTAAACTGAGTACATCTGATGGATATAGACAGAAAAGNTTCCAGACATCTTGTTTGAGCACTTGGATCTAGCTATGTCTGAATCCAGGGAACTGTAGATGTTTTTCCATTGGGTTAAACCAATAAATTCCTTTTCTCTTGGTTTCAGGGGTGTTTCTATTATTTTAAACTGAGTACATCTGATGGATATAGACAGAAAAGGGTGTATAATCAGTGAATAGAGGTAAAAAAGTGGAAATATTGGAGAGAAAATACACTTTTCCTTTGGGACTGTGGTTTTGGGTGAGGGGCTGGAATTCCTAGAACCCAGAAGTCCCCCAGAGCTGTGTGCTTACCAGTGCCATGCCTGGGCTGTTGCTCTGCAGGAGGACCTGGGTCCCCTTAACCCGAGATGAGTGTGGTGGGGCTGCTGGATCTGTTCTCCTTCCCCAGCTCTACCCTGAAGAAGGGCAGTGAGCGGGAGGAGCCACAGGATTCAGCAAAGACAGAAACACAGGTGCCCGAGAACTCAGCAGTCCTCCCGTCAAAGGTGATGACGTGTGAATGCCCAGTTGCCTGGCAGGTGCCAGGGGAGAGTGGGTGGTATCAAAAGATTCCCCTGAGGGTCCACATCTCTGCCCAGGCGCACAGAACAAGGGGAGGCAGTGCACGGCATGGGTGGAAGCCTCGCAGCAGCAGAGTTGCTCACAGCGCTCCCCAGCCCAGGGCCTCCCTGGCCGGTAGTATCTGCCTCCACCGGAGCAGCCACACTGGATGAGGGACAGTCAGTCGGTTCTGTTGAACACAAGGCCTGAGTCACACTGGCAGCCCTCCTGGCATGGTGTCAGGCCGCTGTCGGGCAGGGCAGGCTCAGCGCACGAGCTGGGACAGGAGGAGCTGCAGAGCTCGTAGTGGCCGTGTGGAGGGCAGGCCAGCTCTGGAGAAACACAAGACATTCAATGCAGGGATGTCGCCTCACTGCTCCAAGATCAAATTCTGTTTCCTGCCATCTTGCCATGCTGGGTGAATATTTGTTGAAAGAATTAATGAATGTATTGAAGTGCTCTTCTGTAGACTGAACATCTACTACATGCCAGGAACATTCTAGGGACTGGGGACACAGCAGTGACCAAGAGAGTCAGAAATCCCTGACCTCATGGCAGATGTTCTAGGGCAGAGGTTGAAAAGCTACACCCTGTGGGTCAAATCTGGCCCATGACCTGTTTCTATGCAGCCTACAATCTAAGAATAGTTTTTACATGTTTAAATGGTTGGAAAAAAATCAAAAGAATATTTTCTGAGGCATGAAAATTACATAAAAGTCAAATTTCAGAGTCCATGAATAACATTTTAGTATAACCCAGCTCATTTGTTTATGTTTTGTCATGGCTGCTTGTGTGTTACAACAGAAGAGCTGAGTAGTTGCGGCAGAGTGTGGCCCAGAAAGCCTAAAATATTTATTATCTGGCCCTTTCGATAAAAGTATGCTGGCCCTGTTCTAGAAGGGGGAAATGGACAATGAGCTAGTAATAAATAAAAGATGATTTCAGATTGAGAAACTGGGTCATGCAACAAAGAGTGGCTGAGTCCTGTGGGCTGCTTTGAGTATAGCAGACGGGAGGTCTCTGCAGGGCTGACATGTGAGCCGAGTCCTCAGTGATGAGAGGAGCTAGCCACGTGTTACTGGGGAAGAGCATTCCAAGCAGAGGGAACAGAAAATGCAAAGGCCCTGGGCTAGGAATGAGTCTAGTGTGTTCCAGGAACAGCAGAGAGGCCGGTGTGGCTGGAGCAGAGTGGGCTAGAGGGAGAGGAGGTGCGGGAGGAGGCGGGGGCGAGCGGGGAGAGGCAGCACAGTGAGGGTCTCTTAGCAGGAGGTCTGAAGTTCACACTTCATCCCAAGAGCAATGGGTACGGGTGGGTGGTTTCAATCAGGAGTCTCATGAGATCCAACTTTAACTTTTAAAGGCCTTGTGCCAGGTGCTGGTGACACAGTAGTGACCAGGACAGACCCCACTCCTGTCTTTGAGGGTTTCACAGATCAGGGAAAAGACATATTGAAGGAGAGATTGCTGAGGGTGCGTGTGTGTGTGTGTGTGTGTGTGTGCGTGTGTGAAGAACAAATGTCCTTGGTGACACATGGGAGTTTTTCAAGTCAAAGTTTATCTCTATTTGGGCGCCCAGAGTCCTGGGGCTGGGGAAGGCCCCTGCAGCCTTCCGGGGTCATTTTCCTGGGTTCGCCTGCCTGGAATGGTCCCCCTCAGCCAACGTGACTCCCTCCCTTACTCCCTTCGGTCTTCGCTCCCGTGGCACTGCCCACCCGCACCATGCTTGCCCTCACCATTGAACACCGCGCGCCCCTCCCCCAGCACCCCCGCCCGGCCCGGCACCTCATTTTGCCGACATGCTGTTTAATCTGCATCCTTTCTGTCCTCTCCACTGGAACGTCAGCTCTTTTCAGGCAGGGTTTTTGTCTGTTTTGGTCACTGCTGTGTCCCCCGTGCATAGAACGCTGCCTGGCACATCCAGGTGTTCAGTTAACAATAGTCATTGTTACTGTGAAGTGAGCAATGACCCCAGGGCTTGTCTTTGGCTTTGGGAGAGGAGGTGGGTCAGGCAGGGCGAACCCCCAGCCCAGCCACCGCCCATCCCTTCTGTTGGCCTTTTGAATGTGCGATGGATTGCTTCCCTCAGACAAAGAGAGGTTTTGTTTGAGGGACACAGAACTTGCTTCCTGTTCTGAGGGGTGCTTGGGGGCAGGGGAAAGGAGTCACTAGCCTTGAGGTCCTGGGGAATTAGGTGGTCCCGAGCCCTCAGGACAAAGTCCTCACTCCTTGCCTGCCATTCAAGGCCCCGTGGACCCAGGCCTAGCCCACGTCTCAACCTCACCTCTCTCCAGGCTCCCCCTACTCTGGCTTGGCTGCACAAAGCCTCTGGGCTTCTGGAAATGTTGTTCCTTCTTCTCAGAACATTTGGCTTCTCCTTGTTTACTGTCTAACTTTGATTCGTCATTCAGGCCTCAGCTCACATGCCCCTTCTCTGGGCACGTGCCCCAACTTTCCAGGCTGGGCCAGTGACTCCTCTGGGCTCCCACAGACCCTGACACTTTCCTCATCTGAGCCCCAATCACTCTGCCTCAGCTTCCCCACTACAGTCCTGGACATCCTGGGCTGTCACTGTCTGAAGACAGCTCAGCCAACTCCAGTGGATGTGGGCCCCATGAGGACAGAGTCTGGGCTTTTCTCTGTCACTGCCGTATCCCCAGCATCACCCAGTGCAAGGTCAGACCCAGGGTGACCCCTCCGTGCCACTCCCGCTGTGAGACACACCCTTCACTTCTGTGCCCCGGTGTCTGCTCTTCATCTGTGAAATGGTCACATTCACACTAACAGGGTAAAAAGGTGGCTCAGGCCTCACCTCAGCTGCCTGCTGGATCTTGGGAGAGTCTGAGCTGGGCTGACCCCAGGCCTTCCCCAGGACAGCCTGACTCAGGACAGGCTGACAAGGTCTATCACCAACAGGGCGCCAGGATGCAGAGCCCTGTGGTTTTGACATGGGGGCAGAGTGATGTTAACGCAGTGTCTTTTCCTAATGTGAAACTTGAAAACCAATTTAATAATGACAGCTCAGGGCCGAGCCCGAGGCACACTTGGGAGAGTGTGGCACTGGGAGTGCAGCGACGCTCCTGCCGCGGGTTCGGATCCTATATAGGAATGGCCGGTGCGCTCACTGGCTGAGCGCGGTGCAGGCGACACCACACTAAGGGTTGTGGTCCCCTTACCGGTCACGAAAAAGACACACACACAAAAATAATAATGACAGCTCATACTTGTACAGCATTCACTGTATTGCCAGGAACTGTTATCTCTTTGATTCTCACAACAACCCCACAAAGTAGGCACTATTTTCATTCTTTTTTTGTTAAAGGGGAAACTGATGCATGGAGAGGTTAAGTGACTTTCCCACAGGCACGCAGCTAGGAAGTGGTGGTGTTGGGACTCTAACCAAGACAGCATGACTTTGGGATCTGTGTTCTCATCCTCAATGTGATACAGGTAAGTGGGGGCATTCCTTGCTTTAAACAATGAAATAGAAGAGAATGAAATGGAAAATATTTGAGTGCACATTCCTATTTAGTGACACTGTGTATTATTATCTGTATGCATATATTGGTGTGTGTGTAGAGGGGAGGTGTTTCCAGGACCACAGGGCTCTCTTTCCTGCTGGGCTGAAACCTGAGTGGCTGTAAGGTCTGGAACCACTATGCTCAGGGTCTGGACAAGGAGCCAACATGGTGGGAGGCAAAGCAGAGGCAGTGAAACCAGGGCTGATGACATCGTCTGAGTGCCCGATGGAGCCAAGCCTGAAGTAGCTACTGCGATCATTAATTATGCAAGCCAACAGAATGAGCTGATCTGGGGTTCTGTAGGCAGCAAGCAGAATGCTGGCTGGCACAGAGAGGAAGGCAGCGCGCAGGATGAGAATCAGCACAGAGGCCACTCACTGCAGTCCATCAGGTGTTTCCAGGGCCACAGAGGGAGGCTGTGATGCTGGCACTGCTGGGCATAGCTCCCTAACACCTCACACAAGATCTTCCGTGAACACAAAAATAATAATGACAGCTCATACTTGTACAGCATTCACTGTATTGCCAGGAACTGTTATCTCTTTGATTCTCACAACAACCCCACAAAGTAGGCACTATTTTCATTCTTTTTTTGTTAAAGGGGAAACTGATGCATGGAGAGGTTAAGTGACTTCCCCACAAGCACGCAGCTAGGAAGTGGTGGTGTTGGGACTCTAACCAAGACAGCATGACTTTGGGATCTGTGTTCTCATCCTCAATGTGATACAGGTAAGTGGGGGCATTCCTTGCTTTAAACAATGAAATAGAAGAGAATGAAATGGAAAATATTTGAGTGCACATTCCTATTTAGTGACACTGTGTATTATTATCTGTATGCATATATTGGTGTGTGTGTAGAGGGGAGGTGTTTCCAGGACCACAGGGCTCTCTTTCCTGCTGGGCTGAAACCTGAGTGGCTGTAAGGTCTGGAACCACTATGCTCAGGGTCTGGACAAGGAGCCAACATGGTGGGAGGCAAAGCAGAGGCAGTGAAACCAGGGCTGATGACATCGTCTGAGTGCCCGATGGAGCCAAGCCTGAAGTAGCTACTGCGATCATTAATTATGCAAGCCAACAGAATGAGCTGATCTGGGGTTCTGTAGGCAGCAAGCAGAATGCTGGCTGGCACAGAGAGGAAGGCAGCGCGCAGGATGAGAATCAGCACAGAGGCCACTCACTGCAGTCCATCAGGTGTTTCCAGGGCCACAGAGGGAGGCTGTGATGCTGGCACTGCTGGGCATAGCTCCCTAACACCTCACACAAGATCTTCCGTGAGCCCCCTGTGGCACAGAGGTCGTGCATGCAGTTTTCCATGTGGACTTGGGACTCGGCTGGCTCATCACGGGCCTGGAAAGGCCCACATCAGGCACCCAGCAGTCCACAGAAGGCCAGCGACTGGTACTGGCCCTCCCCGTCACACAGGCACAGAGGGATAGGGCCCGTGATAGAGCAGCGGGCCGGAGAGTCTGGGCCCTTCCAGCTGAGTGTGAAGGCCTCTGGGTCGGGCAGGAGGGAGCCATCAGGGGCACAGAAGTCATCCTGGGGATCCTCATTGAAGTCCCCACCCAGGCCACAGAGGGCACCAGCGTAGGTCTCAAGCACCATGATGGACACATGGTGGCACCAATCATAGGAGACCAGGAGGCCAGCATCGGTCTGCAGCACTGCCCCAAAACCACGGAAGTAGACATGCACATGGCCGCTGGCCAGGTGTAAGGGCAGGTGGGCCTGGGTCCCATTAACCTGGAAACACAGATGGGGCCATATCTACATCACACACCCTCAGGTGGGTCTGTGACTCCCTCAGAACTGTTGGGGTGGAACCCTGTCCCCCTTGGACTTCTGAGTCTGAGCCTGCCCTTCTGGCTTACCTGCACCTTCCTGGGAGTCTGAGCCTCCATCATCACCTTCACCCCATGGACACCCACCTTGATCTTCTGAGCCCGAGTCACGCTGGCCATGGGGATTAGGTGCTCATTGTCCATGCAAACTGTAAAGGCTGGCACCCCTGGGCCAGTTCGACAGGTACGGCTCAGCACATAGCGGCAGGCTCCTGGGCTGTGAAGGTGCGGTAATGGGGGTCACCTGACACCCAGCTGCTGCCTCTCCAGACCGCACAATGCCAGGTCCCATCGCACAGGAGGCATGCTGCCTCGTCCCCACAAGCCTGGGGGCTGCAGCAAGGTGGCTGCCCAGCTTCGTTGCACTCACACAGCTCATGGCAGTTGGGGCTCAGCTCTTGTGCCCCCAGGGGTAGGACATGGCCCTGCCAGGGGCAGCCACAGAGGACAAGGTGCACGCAAGCTCTGCCACTGAACAGGTGGCCGGCATCACACATGCAGCCCTCACGACAGGGGCTGTGGCAGGCCAGAGGCACCTCCTCGTGTGGGCAGCTGGGCCTGCAGATGTCGGCACAGATCTCCCAGTGGCTATTTTCAGGGCATGATGGTTCTGGAGTAAGGGGAGAGAGAGAGATCAGCACCAAGCATTTGATTCAAGACAGCCCCTACCCCCAGGTCACGGCCGTGACCCCTCAGAGGGTCTGATCTCTCAGAGCCCCAGAGCTATGTTCTCTTCAGAAACCGCCTCCCCCAGGGCAGGGCCAGATATTTTTGTGCAGTTCACACCTGTGCAACTGTATTCAGTGGTCTTGGACCCAGCTCCCAACTGCCTCTTTGCTACCTCCCTCCAGACTCACCACAGAAACCAGGAATGTGCCAGGTGCCTACAGCGATGTCAATAGCTTGACAGGCCCAGACAAAGGCGGCCAGTGCCTGACAGAGGACAAGTAGGCTCTCACTGGCTGCACACAACTCTTCAATACAGCTGTCCATGAACAGGCCCACAGGGAGGGTCCAGGTGCAGGCTGCAAAGGGGCCCGTCACATCCAAGAGCCACCCACAGGCCTTGGGGCCTGCATACCTGGCCCTTGGGTGTGTTGGACAGCCCGGCCATTCTGAGCGGCAGGGCTCTGCCTCCTGCCAGATAGCTTGGAATGGCCTGGGCTCCAGCTGGGGTGTTCCCAAAGGGGTCAGGGCATCAGGCTCACACAGGCTCCTGGTACCATGAGTTCCAGATGCCCATCTTGGATCCACAGTTGGAAGCCTGCATCTATGGCCAGGTGGGTAGCTGAGTCCCATGAGTGGACAACTGCTGGGAAAATAGAATAGTTTAGTCAGGACCCTCGCCTTAGGTCAGACTGGGGGTGATGTGGTGCATTCTTTGTAAGCAAATTGTGTGAGTGGGTGGAGATAGGGCGCATGCGCAGCACCACAGCTTAGCTGGCATCTGCCTTGGGCGTCCATGCCTTGCACAGCCATGCTCTCAAACCTATGGCTCCAAGGACCTTTTGGCCAGTTACCTAGCTCATAGACCTGCGTGTGAGGGGTCTGGTGACCCAGCCTGGCATGTGAAAGGTTTGTGACCCAGTGTGGACAACGGGCTTGAGGGGTCTGTGAACTCCAGACCCAGACGTAGCCCTAGCTCGACAATTGGCCCAGTCAGCAGGATTATGGGCAGGTAAAAATAGCCAAACAACAAGCCCAGCCTCAGGGATGGAGAGGGGCAGAGGAAGCAGACGCCCATTCACCTGTGGGGACATGATTTGGCACAGAGGTCAGGGGGCCTTGGCACCTGTTTAGCTTGGTGGGGGCAGGCTGCCAATGGGAGGCATTTGGAATAGAAATGTGTGTGTCAGAAAGAAGGGGGCTCCCGGCCCGTGGCTCACTTGGGAGAGTGCAGTGCTGATAACACCAAGGCCACGGGTTCTGATCCCATATAGGGATGGCCAGTTTGCTCACTGGGTGAGCGTGGTGCTGACAACACCAAGTAAGGGGTTAATGTCCCCTTTCTGGTCTTCTTTAAAAAAAAAAAAAAGTATAGGGATGGCCAGTTTGCTCACTGGGTGAGCGTGGTGCTGACAACACCAAGTCAAGGGTTAAGATCCCCTTACTGGTCATCTTTAAAAAAAAAAAAAAGAAAGAAAAGAAAGAAGGGGGCTCCAATTATGGGGAAATGCTTGTAGGGGGAAGGGGAAACTAATGGGGATATTTACAGCAGAAAACCTGGCTGAGACGCCCGAGGGAATGGGTGAAGCTGGGGAATAGAGGAGGGTGGGCTGAGCCCTTGGCCACCCCAGCTAGCGTGGTGGCTGATGAGGAGGCACAGCTGCAGAGGGAGGAGGAAAACCCAGAGAGTGTGGGGTCCTGGAGGCTGGGGAAGAAAGTGTTGGAGGAGGAAGGGTCAAAGCCACGGACGGTCAAGCAGGACGTGCACTGAGGATTGACCACTAGATGGGGGAGACCTCGTCCAGAGTGGATTTGGTGACATGAGGTTAAAGGCAGAAAAAAACGTGACTAAAGAGGGTTTGAGAGAAAGTGAAAAGAGAGGAAGCGAAGGCAGCAAGCACAGACAACTCTTCTGCGGGCTTTTGCTGTACAGGGCATCCGAGAAGTGGGGCAATAGCTGGGGGGCATGAGGGATCGACAAGGGAGTGTCTCAAAGGTGGAACAAATCACAGCCTGTTGGAATGTGGTGAGAAGGAGCCAAAAGAAAAGGGCAAAGTGTTGGTGTAGACTCAGATTAGATCAGTGGTGCTCAACCTTGAGCGTGCATCAGAATCCCCAGCAGGGCTGGTTAAAACAGGTCGCAGGGCCCCACCCCGAGTGGCAGTCTGGGGTGTGACCCAAGAATTTGCATTTCAGACAAGTTCTCTGGGGATGCTGATGCTGCTGGTAAGGGGCCGTCCTTCGAGAACCGCGGATATCCAGGAGAGCGGGAAGAGTTGCTGGTGAGGTCCAGGAACAATCACAGGGGCGTGCTTAGCCAGGAGGGCAGGCAGAGGGAGGGTGCGGGCTGCTCACGGAGCGCTCCTGCTGATGTTTCCCAGTGAAGCGGGAAGCGAGTTCATCCGCTGAGAGTGAGCTTAGGGGAGGAGGTTTGGTCCGAGGGGAGAGGAGAAGGCCATGGGGGGGGGGCAAGTGAAGTTACCAGGGAGTTGGTGAGATGGCCCTTCAAGTTCACGGTCATCAGTATGGTGCTGGCCAGGCGTGTTGGGCTGCCTAAGTGCAGGGGTGAGTGCAAGTGGAGAGGTGGGGTTGCCTGTTGAGTGTTGGAGGGAGGGGCACAGGAGGCGAAGGAGTGGGCAGGATGGATTAGGGAGGGACCTTCCATCCGAGAAGGTAAGGGGTGGGGACAGCTGTAGAGTCCGTGGATTGGATGGCCCGTGAGGCCAACCAATAGCTGGAGTCAGGGAACTACAGGGTGGGAGCCAGACACAAAGAAAGGTGGGAAACCGAGGCCCCGGAGGGCTGCACTGATGGGCAATGCATGGTGTGTGGTGAGAACGAGACTCCGGGAGTCCGCGTCTGCCTGTGACCATCTGTCAGCCTCAGTGAGTCCACCAGGTGGCTCACCATCTGCCCACCATTTGTCCACCTGTCCGTCCATCTCCCTGCCTTCCGTTTCACCACCTGTTCTGGTCATCCCAAATTGTTCTCTGTTTTCCCATCAACCTGACACTCTGTCTGTCTGCCTGCTGTCTGTCTCCTTGTTCGTCTCTCTGCCTGCCACTCTTTCCATCTGTCTGTCTGTCTGACTATCTGCCATTTGATTCTCTGCCTACCAGTCTCTCTGATAGTCTCAGTGACTGCCCACTCGCTTAATGTGTCTGTCACCCCATGGCTGTCCCTGACTCCATCCTCTAGCCCAGCTCCCAGCCTCACTCACCAGCTCATGTGCCATCCGGCCTTCCGATCTCACCATCACATCCTGGCCATGGAACACCAGCCGCACTGGGACCCCTGGCATGGGGGCTCCTCTGCCCAGCTCCACCTCCACATGGATACCAGGAAGCAGGACCAGGACGAACTGGCAAGGCTGGAGCCACAGGTGCTACCTGGAGAGTGTGCACAGATGGCCCCGTGGGCCCAGGTGGCAGGAGGGGCCTGGAGGGGCCCAGCACCTTGAGAAGGGATGTGCAGGCACACACTGCTGGTCCACCTGGCAGCCCTCTGGCCAGCACCGCACCTGGCCTTCCTGCCCACAGTGGCACCGGTGGCTGCAGGAGCTGCTATTCCAGAAGGAGGCACCGAGGGTCAGGAACTGCGCTGCGGAGAGAGTGGGGCTGGGGTGGGGGTTTCTGGGACTGGGGGTTCTGACTCCTGGGTCTAAGGATGGAATGAGCTGGGGGCCTGGACTCCTTGGTCCTGGAGGAGGAGAGGCTGGGGCCCTGTCCTCCTGGGCTCCATGGGCTTGGATCCAGGAGCAAGTAGGTCTTGGGTAGGGTCCCCACCACCTCACCATTGTAGCCACAGCCACTAGGGACTGCAAAGGCATCAGTGGGCCGGCCCGGTGGCGCACTGCTACAGTGCACCGCTTGGGAAGCGCGGCAGGCGCTCCCGCCGAGGGTTCGGATCCCACATACAGACCGGTTCCCGCTCACTGGCGGAGCGAGGCGCGGGAGCAACACCGAGGGTTGCGATCCCGTTGCCGGACACGAAAAAAGACAAAAAAAAAAGAAAAGT